CGCGCAATGGCCAACCTCAAAGAAGCGCTGTTCGCGTGGGCGGCACATAATCCATCCCAGCAAGTCCAAACAGCGTATGATGAGCGATGGTGCCCAGCTTCCTGTCATGGCAGGGCTCGCAAGGGCAAACCTCGCGTTGTATTTCACTCAGTCGGACTGTCCTGGGCAGCATACGAATTCTAGGTTGGCATCTTCACAGATTTATATCTGGTAAGAGATCATTCAAGAATTTCTCACGCGCTGCAGCACAATTTCAAAAAAAAACACAATAGAATAGAGATAGACAGATTAAAGCTTGCGAAACATGGTCTTCAGGTGCAACAAACGTTCAGAAAGCAAACAACAAATTTTCACCAACCCCTTTTCTTCAATCACACGCCTTCACCGACAAACAAGACAACATAAAGAAAACAAAGTCGAATTTGAAGTTGTCAAGGGTTTTCGCACGCAGTATCGGAAAGTTCATGAACGTGGAAAGAAAGTTCATGTTTGGAATATTTGCAAATGCGTCCAATCCATAATGGGACGGAAGTTGCATGGGAAATTAAAGCAACGCAGCTCCGCACTGCGAAAATTCGCAGATTTTGCTTTTCTGACTCACCTTCTAACGGCTGTAACAGAAAGCAGATCCAGCAACCTTCTTGAAACGGAGCTGTGAGCGTTCTTGAACTCCGTGGCTGCAGTTCTGCAACAAGGATGTGGGAGAGCTGCAACGTGCTGCTGCCTTTCAGCGCCAAATTTCATGGAGAGGATCGGTCTGCGACGTACGTCGCTCGCTTTGCTTACTAACTGCGATGCTTCCCACCCCGGACTTGGATGTGCTTGTACTCCGGGTCGAACCCTCAGAGTTGGAGTCGAATGGAGAAGCCGTTTTCCGTGCTAGCTTGGTGGCGCACCGATACCGTTGAGTCCCTAAGATCCAAGAGCAATGGCGATCTGCCACAAGAAGATGAGCACCCTTGGACGACTAATCAATTAGGACCCGATGAGGTTGGAGGCGGTGGCCTTCCTCAAGCGGGGCCAGTCTTCTCTCAGGTTTTTGGGGACCGGTGGGAGACTTGGCTCAAACGATGGCGACTGGACTCCAGCCGGTTCTTTACTTCATGGCAGTGTGCGGTTTCGTTGATGGCTGTGGCAGACCGTCATGCGCCAGAGTCTTTTTTGGCAGAGCATGGGAGACTGCCACACAACTGCAGGCGCACTATGTTCGAATGGACACGAATGAAGCTCCAGTAGCCGAAGCACAGACGCAGGCGGGAAGCAGCACTTGTCGATCATCGGGAAGAAATCAAAGATCGCAGATGTTGAAACAGGCGGGAGGCAGTCCACGATCCAGCATTGCCCGTACAAGCGGTGCTCGAACCACCTCGTAGCGGCCAGGTGCGGAAGAAAACGGCGACCCATAAATGGTCGATTGACTGCGGCCATCACGGCTTGCAAGCGGGACTCGGGCCGCAGCCTCCACTGCCTGCAAGAAAGACAGAACGGTGTGTCTCCATGGCAAAGCTGGACGGAGGGCTTGCCGCAGGCGGCGTGCGCGGGCACACAGGCATGCAGGCAAGAGTGTCCGTGCTATGGCTTTTGAGCACGTGCAAGAAGACATCCAGTGCGCCTTCCACCGTAAAACAGAAAAGGCAATGCAAGGAGAGATCCCACTGTGGCACGCTTTGTGCATGAGGTGTCACCCCCTAAAAGAAAGTCACTGGAAGAGGCTTAGCACCTTGAGACAGAAAGCTAGGACGCTGATTATGCGCTACGGGCAGATGTACCGCTTTGCTTGTAGCTCAGGTCGGAGTGTGTGATGAACCAATGTGCCCAGCTTCCTGTCAAGGCAGGGATGCGAGGGCAAGTGTGATTCCAGAAATGAGCTCGAAAGTGGTTTGCCAGCACCAACTTTTGAATCGAAGTCATGAAAAAAATGAGTCTGCAACTGCAAAGACCTCTACAGGGGAGGCCCTTCGAGGCTTCCTACGATTCTGTAGGAAAAAAGAGCTCCTGCAAGTGGAGCTTCCCAGCGCAAAAACAGCCCACGTACAGCAAGCAATCGAAACAGTTGAAGCTACAAGCTGAGATTAACATCTGCCAGTAGTAGATGCCGCAAAATCCCTCTGCGCACTTCTACCTGCTTTGGACGAAAGACAATCAAGACATCTTGTAGACACGCAGACAATACCACACCTTTGCATCCTGACGCTCCTGTCGCAGGCGGGCCAGACGGGCGGACAAAGTCTCCTAGCAACAGGCAGACGAGGACGAGGAAGGACCATTTATTTACGAAGCTGCACTCCTGCGGCAACTCCACTCTTTGAGGGGGAGGAACAGGAGGTGCTTCCACGTCGGACATCGTTGCAACACAGGGGCCAAAAGAACGCTCGAATTACGGAGCCAATTCCGGAAGCTGTTCTCTAGGATGCTTGGAAGGGCCTCCTCTGTAATCACGTTTGCGAAGGATTTTCCGCCGTGAATAGGTCCGTGAAATCTGTCGAAACGAAAGTCAAGAGCTCCGGAAGATTTGGGAAGCTCACATAGTTTGTGCAGTCCAGCAGGCTGACTTCCGTATGAAGCCGGCCGGGTTGCTTGGCAAACACGAAAAAACCGCCTTGTGCCGGTGGAGGGCTCGGTGACAAAGATGACGCCAACTCCCTCTCAGAAGCAGTGACAGCAAACACTATCCTGCACAGGTGTCGTCGGCGCATAAGACCACAAAGTATCGTCCGGAGCAGGCATGCAGGCTGCGACTGGGGCCTGGACATCCTGCGAATCCAAGCACAGTCCTGCAAGTTAGCCACTTCAAACAGAGCCGTAGGTGCTGCATCATGATCGGATAAGATGATGTGCTTGCCGGGGAAGAGGGTTCGCAAGACCCACAGCGCATAGACCTTGCCCCACCATACAACAGCTATGTCCAAACCCGACTCCCGAGTGAGCGGAAAGAAGACACAAGCATGCCATTCTGCATGCCAACCAATCCAGCAGCATCTGTTGAGTATTTGCGGCAGTGTATGCCGCCCATGACTGAAAAAGTCGCACCCTCAGCGTGCTGTGGTACGCCACTGAAAATGAAGCGCCATGAGGCCGGCGCGTCCGCAGTTTTGGAGAGCCTGCACAAGCAAGTGACCCGCGTGCATCTGGAGGTGGACGTGCGCCAAACCTGCAGTAGCATGGAGGCGACAGGTAATGACAGAGGCTGACGCGCATCCGTTCCAAGGCCCAAGCTCAAACCTGGCTGGAAACAGAGCCTCCGCCATGGCGCGGGAAGGCTGCTTCCAAAGACATTAAATTCCCCCCTTCCGTGGAACGAAGTATGTCTCGAGCTTGTTAGAATGGCCTCTGTGTAGGATGCGCCTTCGTGAGTTTCGCCATTGCGCGACCGCTTGATGGTTCTATACACACCAGCCTGGCCTGCAAGTTGACTTGCGCGACCCAGGTCTTACGGGAAGCAGGGCCAGTGATCCGTGGATTAGTCTGTGCATCACCGGAGCTGAACGATTTAGCCGACCAAGTCTGTATGTCGCAGCTCTTGTTTCACTTGTAAAGCGTCGCATTTTTAGCTTCATGCTTGCTTGTAGTTCTTGTTGTTCTTATGGGACCGAGTGCAGCAACTGCTGTCTTTGAGGCCCGCCCACGCCAAAACAACATTTCTTGGAATCACACACTCTGGACGGTAAACCAACGACAGAAGAGCTCCAAAGTGTTGGCACAGTTAATTTGCCTTGAGCATGCATTTATTTCAAAGAATCAAATTGAAACTTGGCTGTGTAACTTTTTGAAGGATGACTTTCTGCACTCTTGCAGCTGTGACATCTGCACGAACTGGCAGTGCAGTTCTGGACGAAGGGGATTTTGCCTCTCTGCACTCTGCTTGCCAAGAAGATCAAGTGCATTATTTGTCAACTTGTGCGTTTTCTTTGGCTAGTGGTGATGTCTAGAGAACATACTTGCGACAGTGGAGGCGAACCCAATCTTGCGATGTTTGTCCGCAGCCTTGGTCCAGCACCACATTGGATTTGTTTGCAAGTTCCTGCACGACTGCAGAGCGACGGAGTACGCCGAGGTCACATCTGCTTGACACAGGTGAAGGTGATCGGAGTCTTTCCGGCAGGGGGGCTCGATCCGAGGACAGTCATTGATCGCATCTTCATTGTGAAAGTGCATGTTTGAGACATGGACTTTGGTTGTCTTGCATGCCTGCTCATGTGTGAGTCTTTGTAGCTTGTAGTTTTGCCTTGGAGGGCTCAACTGGAAAGCTTGCTTTCAGTGCTTGAGAGTGTAGGGAAGTGGTTTTCCTTGCTGTGACTGCATCAGGAGTGACTGAATGTTTCATGTGTTTACTCAGGGGTGTTTTACTTTACCTTATTCCAAACACAACATTTCGGCCCAAGACACGCGTGCTTCAGCATAGCATAAAGCTTCGCTTCATGCTTTAAAAATTTTGAACATGCAGCAGATTGCTTTTACTTTTCATGTTTATGATTCACTTCAGCACGCGTCAGTTTTGCAGTTTTGAACAACATAGCTTTCTGCGTCCTTTGATGGACTCGGAGGCTGACCCGGCTCCACAGTCAGCAGAGCTTCAACAAACTTTACAATGGTTGGACCTCCCTGTCAGGCAATTTGACATTGCTTTGTGTGACAGGATCGCTGCACTTGAGGAGCAACTTTCTGCTCTTCAATCGTCACGCGAAGCCTCCTTTGCCAAGCTGGAAGAGTATCGCACTTACTTTGACAGCAGTCTCTGGAGCCTTTTCGAAGGTGCCAAGAAACAGGCCAGCAAGGAGAGTGCAGCGATCCGCGAAGACTTCTTTGCTGCTTTACTTGAGCTTCGTGAAGACACTCTGGAAGCTTTAGGTGGCGTACACGAACGAGTAGATCATATTTTCCAACAACGATTACTTGCTTTGCATACAGATATTGATATTTTGGGTGCTCGCCTTCAGATTCTTGAAGGCCAACCGGAGCCTACGGACAGTGTTTCTTTTCTGGATTCACTTGATTGAGCAATGGCTGATGCTTCCGATGATAGCCGCGTTCGTGTGAAGCGTTACAGGCGGGAATCCGAAGAAGTTTCTTTTCAGGAAATCCCGACGGAGCGTGAGGATGGCAGGGACGATTCCAGCCCTGCTTTGACGCTGTCTTCAGGTGATGGTTCCTTTGCCGTTGTGGAGGCTACTTCGGCTTTCGATTTGTCTGTGCCATCATCCTGGATGTCAGGTACCTTTGCCTCGCAGTTGGTGCCGGCAGTGCCCAAAGGGAAGCCTCGGCCTCGACCTTGCTTTGCGCCAATAGACAGATCTGTTCCGTCGACGACGGCACCATCACATGATGATATGCCCAAAGCTCGACCGCTTTTCTCACAGCGTTCTGCTTTTACTTTGCGATCCTCGCAGGATGCTCGGTCTAGACCCACTTTTCGCCCCGCTCGCGATTATGCGATCTACCCCTCGGAATCCAGACTTTCTGGTGCAGCGTCTGGCTTTGCAGGTACAGGGAACGAGTCTGGCACCTCAGTTCAGGATGACTCCTTTGTCGATGACTTGCTTCAGGCTGCTGATGCTTTTGCCTCTACGACTGAGTTTTCCTTTCCCCCGGAACCACCAAGGGTGGTACCTGGCAAGTTTGCTTTACCTGCTCGGCCTATGAACTCCACATCTCGAGTCATCCTTCAGAACGATGTGCATGCCAAGCTTCGTGCCAAGGGACTTCTTTTGTGGCGTCAATTAGTCCTGCTTTTGTCGCCTTTGAGCTCGGCCTTGCAGGAGATTTTGGAGTCGGCATCCTCAGAAGCTTTGCTCTCCCAGTTGGTCTCGTCTGTGGCTGACACTACACTGGTCAGGTATGTGCAGAGCTGCCTGCAGTACTTTGCTCTGCTTCAGGACCTGGGTTTCGATGCCTCGCGAATCTCTCAGGTGCAAGCCTATGATGTCATGATACAGCTTTACAGGTCTCCTGAAGATGAAGAGGAGGTCCCCGCGTCATGCTTTCCACTCAATACACTGAAGGCTTTGAGGTGGATGGTCAAAGTGGCCACCATTTCTTTCCCAGATTTGTATACAGGGCTTTTTCACTCAGTGGCTCATCAACGGAATGAGGCAGATCGCAGGGAGTCGGTACCTTTGCCACTGGATTTTGTGGCGTATTTGGAGTTTTGCCTGCTTTCAAATGCCTTTCCCGAGTTGCAGTTGAACATCGGGGCGCTTCTTTTGATGATCTGGGGCTCCTTGCGGTTCAGTGATGCCATGCATGTGAAGTGGGGTTCACTTCTTTACGAGCAAGAGGTGGGCCGCGGCATTTCTTTCCGAACCAAGACCTCTGTGCGTGGCGCTCCTTTCGGAGTGATCGGGGTCGGCCTTGTGGGCCCTTGGTTTTCCACCTGGCTTGCTTTACTGAAAAATGAGTGGGTTCGTATCGGAGCGGAGGCAGGCCAAGTGGAACCAGATGCATTACTTTTCCACTCGAGCGATGATGAGCTGTTTGTCCCCATGACGTACGGGGAAGGCCTTGCTACTTTACGATACCTTTTGGGGCAGTGGAATAAGCTTTCCAAGGCCCAAGTGGAAAATTTTACTTTGCATAGCTGTAAAACCACTCTATTGTCCTGGGCAAACCAACTTTGCATCAGCGAAGATCGGCGATCTGTGCAAGGAGAAGATTCTGGAAGCCCTCCGTGCCTCGCTCGCTGTGGCCAACATGACCAATAAGGAATGCGCAGATGCTTCCTCGGCGTCGCCCCAAATTGAGAAGGTGCTTAAGAAGTTGGGGAAGAAGGACGCGTTGAAGCAGCAAGTCAAGGACTTTGCGCGCCTGGCGGACACCAGCTCCCGCATGTATGCAGGTGCCATGGCCGGCTTGGAGCTCACCACAGGCACAGCAGCGCACGCCTATATAGCAGAGATGATGTTTTCGGTGCGTTAACTTTACAAAAAGAGTTGCTGCTTGCGATTCGACAAGGCTGGAGGCCTTTGTGTCCTCAACATCGGGGAGGACAAGTTCCTTTACATGAACCGGAACTGCAAAATCGGGCCGCCAACTTTACCGAACCCTGCTTTGCGATCCCAGGGGGCTCACCGGTCCTCGAGCAGAACTCTCAGCTTTGCTCCACCATTGATGTGGATGCTGACCTGGCAGGTGTGACGTCACCTTCGGCATCGGGCTCTGGCGATGTTGTGGCCCCGGAGAAAGCAGCCACCCTTCCTTTGCACTCGTCAGGTGAATTGGGCTCCCCGGAGGAGCTGCTTTTCATCGTCACTGCCAAGACTATACACAAGGCGGTGGTATGCTCTGAGCTCGATCGTTGCACCACTTTCCAAGGAGTGCACCTGAAGCCAGCTTGTGGTTGCATCGTGAGTGTTTTTCAAGTGGTGCATTTTGCACCCACAGGCAAGAAGCTTTGCAGACACAAGGCATGCTTGGAGCTGTGATTTTGCTTGCAAAAATAACCTACTTTTCAGGTACAGCTTGTGTGCTCGAGCTTTTCATGCAAGTGCCATGTCTGCTTTCAGTGCTATCATTCCGCCTGTCACAGCCTTGGCTCGCTTTTAGCTTCAGCTTTTCGGTGGATCGGGGTAGTCCCCGACGACTTCGCGTACAAGGCCGGTTGCATAGCGTTGTGCGTTTGCTTTGCTTTCTGCAAGGGTGCAGCACATGTTGAGTGACAGTGGTGTCAAATGCAGCTTGCGTCACACAAGCACTTGCTTTGTGTCAATCGGCCCCTAATGCGTCACAACTGCGTCATAACTGCGTCACAACTGCGTCACTTTGCGTCAATCTATTGCGTCATAATCAGCGTCGAGTGCCTCCGTGGCGGCATTTTTGCGTCCTAATGTGCACACAAAACACTGGATGCGCCCACTTTGCGCCCTAATTAGCGCCATCTGCGCGCTATTGCGTCGGCCGTGCGGGCCGTGCGTCACAGTTGCGTCACAAAGTGCGTCAAAATCAGGCTTTGCGTCAAACTCTAGGGAATCCCCGCCAAACTTGCGTCACAGTCGGTCAACTTTGCGTCACATGTGCGTGTTTTCTGCTTTACAGTGAGGTTTGCGCATGCGTTTGCAGTTGCTTGTAGGGATCTCACAGGCTCTGTGTGACGCTTTGAGCTTTCGGCAGAGCTTTGCCCAAGACTTGCGTCAGTCCCTTCGCATCCTCTCACATACTTTGCGTCATGGCCCAGAACGATTGCTTTCCGGAAAATTTTTCGGAGCTTTCGGCATGGGACCTCTGGGATGCCTCGGAGAGGTTTGCAGGGCGGGATGGTTATTCCCGTGAACAATGGTTCAACTTCTGGCGTGAAGCTTTGCAAACTGGGGTGGATGCTCCGACACAGGAGCCTGACCCTGCTTTGCCCACGACTACCACGGTGGAGACGTCTACTACTTTACCCACCACCACCACTGTGGAGCCAGCACCTTCCGACGAACTGGATGGTGCTACGACGGAGGAGGCATCTACTTTGACATCGGCAATCGATCCTTCGTCTACTTTCCCAGCTCCAGAAGCCCCTTACCATGAATGGGGTGATGAATGGGTTCCGACACCGGCGCCGACTTGGGAGGAAGAAGCATGGGCTCCCGCTACTCCCTGGGTTCCCCCAGAGATAACGGAGTATCTCCAGCGCTATGACTCGCGCCCGGAGCCCACTTCTTTACCTCCGACGACTCAGGGCCCAAGCGAAACTTTGCCCTGCACCGTGGAAGCCGACCCACCGGTCACGGTACCGAACGGGGTGCTTTCCACTGAGGAGCAGCCGTCTTCTTTACCTCCACCTACTACGGAGGAGGCTGACGATTTCAACTACGTGCCGTGGAACTTTTCACAACTTTCGGAGGCGGACTTGTGGAATGCGACAGCATTCTTTGAAGACTGGATGGGCTACGATAGACAGCAGTGGCTTGAGTTTTGGCTTACTTTGAGGGCATCTCGGGTGACTTCATCTACTTTGCACCCGCCTCCAGATGATGCAGCTGGTTCTTCTACGGAGCCCACTCAAGATCCTTTACCTCCTACGGCTGCTACCGAGTCATCCTCTCCTTTACCATCGTCAGCTACTTCGGGGGCTACCGCAGCACAGGACGACAGTTCTTTACCGCAAGGTTCGGAACCAACGGGCGGTGATAGACCCCGTACTTTACCGCACAACCAGCGTGTGTTTCGGACTGCGTGGGGTGAGACACAGTTGATCCAACGGGCCACGGTATATTGGTGCCGAGAGGGGTGTACCCAGTGCTCAGGCGCGGGTACTTGCGGTGCTACTTTGCTCGACCCCCACCATGCTCACGTTCATCGTTGCAGACTCTGTTATGGAGAATACCGTCGACGTCAGGGACGCAATACTTTCTGCAATGCTTATGGGCAGTAGCAATGTACTTTACCGCCAGACGCGTCCTCTTGGTGCTTTTTCTGGCGGTGGAGCCCACTTAATTGCGTCAATGCTGGGTTCCCACAGCTTCTACTTTACTTTAGCTCTAGGCTGCATATGTATACTTTGCTCCACCTTGCTCGGGCCTTCGGTCCTGTTGTTTGCGTCTGGGACCCAGCAGCACGCGTCACCGACCTACTTTGCTTCGCGAGAAAAGATTCGGCGTGCTTTCAGATCCTTTGCGACACTGCTCTGTAGTTCTGCATGTTTTCTGCCATACATGTGCTGTCAGGTGATGGATTCTTTGTCCCCGAGATCTAGGGTGCAGCAGTTGGCCACAGCTTTGCAACTTTCGATTCCGGCATCTGCAGCATCTCTCGGTGATCTGACTTTGCTTTCTTTTGGTCTCGGCTCTGTGAACCTGGAAGGTCTCGATGCCTTCCTCACGGCCAAAGGCTGGTCGCCGGATGCTGAAGAAATTCCTGTCATCAGAATGTTGTGGGTGCAAGCACATAAAGTATGTACTTTACCTTCGGCAACTTCGGATTCGTCGTCGAGTACCCTACACTCTACTTGGGCAGAAACTTTTCCTCCCAAACTTTCCGCAGAAACAACATTGCAGTTGAGGCGTGACTTTGAGAAAGCCTATCCTTCGGAAGTTTTGGACGACACCAACTTTCCGAGTGCACGCCTCCTTTCCCTTGCTTACAGACTCAAGAGCAAGTCGGACTGGAAATTCATGCCTTGGAAACAGACTTTCGAAGCTACAGGAGGAGGACTATAACTCGGCTCGTCCCAAGAAGATGGCGAAATTCGAGAGCTTTACCGACGTCCTTTACGACGACGTGCCCTCACGCAACATCGCTGAGAACATGGGTCTGTACGGGATCAGCAATTTACTTTCCATACATTCGAATGCCATTGCTCTCGCTGACATTGCTCACCTTGCTACTTTACGGGCCTATGAGCGTAAGTTCCTGAAACATGTTCAGGCCCGAACAGACCCAACTTTGCGTCCACCGAACGCACAGGAGTGCGAAGCAGCAGATCGGCGATGTTGGGAAGTTGTCGGGCAGCTCAGGCAGGAGGGTTGGTCGGTGGATGATGCTTTGCATGAGTTCACAGATGTTCGCGCAGAGCTTGTTGCTTTGCTTGCTCCCCGGCTCGCTCCTTTCAAAGGAAAGAAGGGAGATGGAAAAGGCGGCAAAGACAACTGGAAGGGTCAGCCCCACAAAGGGGGCAAGACCCCGGGGGGCAGAGGTGGTGCAGGTGCCGGCAAGGGTAAATCCAACTTTACCAAAGGCACCCATGCATTCGAATGGGCAAGCAAGGCAAAGATCAATGGGGAGCAGAAGGTACTTTGCATGGCATACAGCACCCACAAAGGATGCACCTCGGCCAATTGCAAGTTTGAGCACCTTTGCCCCGTGATACTGGACAACGGTAAGATCTGCCTGTGGAAGCATCCTGCTTTTCAGCATGCCCAAAAGGCAGGCTCTTGAGGGGGACCGGGCCTCGAAGATGCAGGCAGTGAAGGCCTGGTTCCAGTTACTTTGCCTGCAGATGATCCAGGAGATGCTCATTCTCAACGGCCCCATGATCCTTCATCGGATCATGTGGCATCGAGTGCTCCTCAGACCTTTGCACGCTTGGTCTCGGAACCTGGCTCAGGCTTTTTCCTGGACATCAACGGAGGGTCTCGTCGCCCACTCTCGGCAGCTTTTCTTGGAGCGGGCTGTGATACTTTCTCAGTTGCTCCCGAGGTTTTCCCGGAACGCGACCTTTTGCAGGATGACTTCTTCTTCACTTTGCTCAGGGTTTGTCACTCTGGGCAGGTGGCTCTTTTACATATCCTGCTCTTGGCCAGCGATTTTACATCGATTTTGTTCGAGCGTATGATTCAGATTGCACATGCATGCTTTGCTGCGGGGTCCCATGTGTTGCTTTCTCAGCATTCTTCGTCAGCAGTGTGGAGCCATTCTTCAGTTCTCTTTCTTTTGCGGCAGATGAGCTCCGATATCATCTTTTGGGATCCGCGGCAGTTTGGGTGCAACTTTTCGAACTTCGGCATTTTGGCAGCCTCCTTTTCTTCTTTACAGCATTTGGCGACATCCTCTTCGGCAACCTCCGATAAGCAGGCCACGGCAGGATCGGCAACGTTCGCTCTAAGTGCGGATTTTGTACTCGCTGTGGCCAAAAGTTCTTTGCATCTCTTCTCTTCCAGAAGTCCGGAACCTCTAGACTTGCATTTGAACCAGGTTCCTTTTCTGCGGCAGATCAAGCAGACATTTGAGCCACCTTTTGCGAATCAGGATGGTGCTGGGATTTACTCGGTGCCTGACTGGAGTGCTCCCCCACCTGGGGTACAGGACGTGCTTTGTGACCTCCGATCCAAACTCAGGCAATGGGTCTTCGACAACAAGATTCCACAACGGCTGCGGTGTCATGCTTTGCAACACAGCTCTGAGCCTCTCTTTCATGAGGGTGAGATTCGCCACCTTAGGCAGCTTTTCCAGACCTGGGTTTATGAACAAGGATCGCAGCATGAGGTTGACTGGACGATCCCAGAACATCAGCCGTATGCCCTGCATGCTTTGAAATTCTTTTCTCAGTTTGTCAAGGACAAGGGCGACACTCTTTGTCAGTGCTTGATTGATGGAGTCCCCACGGGGTATGATAGTGACATCCCGCTTTCCAAGGTGTTCATACCGCATCCTTCTGCACCGGAGCTTGAGCACCAGCTTTCTATCGCCAAGGACAACTGGCAGAGTGCAAATAACGACCCCGACACTTTGCGAGAACTCGTCCAAGCTGAGGTCCAGAAAGGCTGGCTGTTTGAGATGCCTTCTTTGCAGGCAGCGCAGGAGCGTTGGGGTGAGCGTGTGGCGGTAGGGAAGATGTCGCTTGTACTTTCCCCACCGAGGGCTCCGAGGCTGGTTGTGGATTCCACGGTCTGTGGCACCAATGATGCATGCTCTATCCCGGAGCGCTATACTTTGCCAGGCCTCCAAGATGTGCGCGACTGCTTTCCTTTGCGCAATCATGCAGGACTGTGTGAAGGTTTTCACCTGGATGTCAAGGCAGCGCACAAGACGGTCCGCGTCAAGGAGTCCGATCAGGGATTGCTTGGGGTTACTTTGCCAGGTCACGATGGTGAAGACGACAAGCTTTTCTTTTATCGCGTTTGTCCTTTCGGTGCCAATTTTTCAGCGTTATGGTTTCAACGCCTCGCCGGCATGCTCCTGCGGCTGATGCACCTTTGGATCTTTGTCCGACACGCCCTCATGGGCTACGTGGACGATTTTCTTTTCATTCAGGACCGTTAATGCATCTTATATTCGGCTTCTCTTCTACTTTGCTTTACCTCCATATTTGGAGTGCCCCTGAGCTGGGCCAAGCTACAGCTGGGTAGCTGCATAACATGGATAGGTTGGTCGTTCAACTTTACCAGTGGCTCTTTCTACATTCCGAAGGAGAAAGTTGACAAACTTTTCCATTGATTCAGGAAGTCACACGCTCCAGGAGAGTCACGAGTGCCTTGTTGCATAAGCTGGTGGGCCTACTGCAGTGGTTCTGCCAACTTTACAGGTCCTGCAAGCCCTGGTTGGCTGCTTTATTTTCGGACCTACATAGACACTTGGCTTCTCAGTACAGTATATCACAAGGACTGTGGCCTTCTTTGTCAAATTACCTGGATGATGACCTCCGCTTTACATCCGTGCCTCCGGGTACCCAGGTACCGCTCGGGGGCAAGCTTCTCGAAGCTCGTCATACGGAGCTTAAAACCAAGCAAGATCTTTGCAAGGTTCGTACCTCCAACCGCATTTGGATGAGGGTGACAAACCCCAAATCTGACCGGCGTTCGTTGTCCCCAGCCTCGCGAACTTTTCTGGCCTTTTGGAAGGAATGGTGTCAGCGGCCTCAGCCCTACACCTCACTTTCCATTCCTTTGCGACTCCAAGTTGAGGCCTTCGCGGATGCACGAGCAGATGGAGAACTTATTGGCATCGGCGGGTTTCTTGCTTTTCCATCCGGAAAATGCATATGGTTCTCTCAATCCTGGCAGCTTTCAGATCTATCTATTTTGAAACTCGACCTGCGCCGGCCTGCACACAAGGATACTGCCTGCTATGAAACTCTGGCTCAGATTGCTCTGGTTCACCTTTACAGGTCAGTCTTTCCTTCAGGTCGGGTAGCAGTTCGACTGCCCTCCTTTTCGGATAATGCCTCGACTGAGGCTCTGGGAGCAAAGCTTTATACTTCCAAGTGGCCTCTGGGAGCTTTTGCCCAGAAACTTTCTCTGATTTCGGCTGCATCGGGTATCGAGCTGGATATATCTCATATCGCTGGTGAGAAGAATGAGGACGCTGATCTTTTGAGCAGGTGGAATCAGACAGATGCTTTACCTGAGAAGTGGCGGAAAGAGGACAGAGTGGACTGCTCTCTTCAGTTCATTTGGTTCTTTCGCAAAGAGGTCCTGGTGTGGCCCTCTCACTTTTCTTTGCCAACTGGAATGCAAGAAAGACACGTATCGGATGATGACTTGTGACAGCGCCCGCAGGATCTTTGCCCGGGGCCGTTCTGTCAGTCTGCTTTACACCCGCAGGAAGTTTGCCCGGGGTGCAGCATGTGTCTCCACCCGCAGGATGATTGCCCGGGGTGGCATGGTGCTGCTTTACGCCCGCAGGATAGTTGCCCGGGGTGCAGCGTTTCACTGAGCGAGCTGCCAAACTCTCACTTTTCACTTTGGGTAACCATAGGGCGAGACTTTGACTTTGCCGGTTAAACTTTGGGTCTAAACTCTCGAAGCTTCGTTGTAGCTTTCTTTGCTTAGCTTCGGCTTGCAGCTTCAACTTACTTCTCGCGTTTCCGGCAAAGTCAAAACGTCTCTCTGCTTGCTTTGCTCTTCAGCCTGTAGCGTGTCTTGGGTTAGGTAAAGTTGAACGTTTCATGTGTTTACTCATGGGTGTTTTACTTTACCTTATTCCAAACACAACATTTCGGCCCAAGACACGCGTGCTTCAGCATAGCATAAAGCTTCGCTTCATGCTTTAAAAATTTTGACCCGCCCGCCCAGCCCTGTGTGATGCTTTTATTAAGCTTCTTATATCCATACTTCGTACTTTTGTTGCTTTACTTTGGGCAAGGGGGGTCTAAACTCTCGAAGCTTCGTTGTAGCTTTCTTTGCTTAGCTTCGGCTTGCAGCTTCAACTTACTTCTCGCGTTTCCGGCAAAGTCAAAACGTCTCTCTGCTTGCTTTGCTCTTCAGCCTGTAGCGTGTCTTGGGTTAGGTAAAGTTGAACAGCTGTAGTTCCGCTTGCGCTGGTTCTGAGTAGGTCCCGAGAATTCCCACTGACGTTTGAATCTGTTTTGCTGTTGTGGAGAACACGTGGCTGAGCAGTGTTTCAATTGAAGTGCTATGGCACATGGAAGATCTGTGGCCAAGTTGCACAGACAAAGCCTCCGGCTGTTGACTTTGGCTCAAGCCGTGAGAAAAAGAGGGTTCAGCTGTCGGAATAGTATTCCACCTGCATAGCTACAGGAAGTCTGCAGTGACCTTTCCGGTCATCTGTAAACGGGTTTCACCGAGAAGTTCCTGTCGTACAAGTTTTTTTCCCTGGTAGGGGGGTGGACGAGTCGTTCGCCTTACCTCCGACCACAGTGGTCGTGCTTGAGCAGAAGCCAGTGGCTATCTGTGCCCTTCTGAGTTGCCCGAAGACCGGGCCCGCACTCACCCCCATGACCGCTAGGAGAAAAAGAAAGCGACTGCGCAGTTTAGAACCACTGCACAGTCAAGGGTTGCCCGCAACTAGTGCTAACGGAAGTTTCGTTGGGGGAATAATATGGTCTGCGTGCGCAGTAGGCTCGAGCAGCAGGACGTCCCCAGCCCGGGGAAGCCCCAGCCCAGAAATCTGGGTGTAGCGAGCTAGCATGACACGCGTCACGTCACACTTTCACAGCCCTACGGGTATCACAGCTATACTTTCTTGCCCGATGGGCTTCTCTAAATAACAAACATTTCGCTCAGGAGTGTGTTGCCCTATAATCCTGTAGTTGAGCTGTTTGCCACATGATTTTGTATAGCATGGAACAATGGTTCCACTGTGGTGTTTAGGCTCAAGGGACGCACCCAAGACAGCCGTGCGCCCGAGGAAAACAAAGAGCGAATACCAGTGCAAAGTGAAAGGGTTTGGAACGTACCCGTAAAGCGTTTTATGGTAGCGGAGCTGAAGGCCAGGACCTTCGGCTAAAGAGGAGCCCAATACAAGGAGAAAAGAGCCTTGGGCCCCAGTGTCACGAAAGAAGGACAAGTAAAAGACGGTGAATGGCCACACCAAGTCCAGCTGGAGACGCGGATTTGCCTGTGTCCCCTGGTCACGGTGGTCAAGGAGGAGATACACCGAGTGATACGCCAATGGCGATGCCGGAAGCGGCAGGAGTTGCAGGAGGATCCCTTCAGGCCTTGATTGGGAACCTATCTGCAGCAGCGCAAGCTTTGGCTAGTGCTGCAGGTACAGGAAGTACAAAGAGTTACGACTCTGCAGCTAAGCTGGTGAAGAGTCCGGATGTGTTTGCTCCAAAGAACTTGGAGGAGGAAGTTTCACAGTGGCCCGACTGGAGTTTCAGTTTTAAAGTGTTTGTGGGTTTCATTGATCCCACCTATGCAGAAGAGTTGAAGAAAGTGGAGCTGGCACCACCAAAGCCAGCAGAGTATACAGTTGGAGAGAGAGAAAGAAGTACAAAGCTGTATGCCATATTGGCCTCATATCTTCGGAATAGGCCATTGAAGTTGTTGAAGTCAGAAGGAAGTCCAGATGGATACTCTGTATGGAGAAGACTGTTTGAAGAGTTGGAGCCGTCAAGCCGAACAAGAGGGCTGGCAATGGCTCAAGCTCTAGTGAGCTTTCCTTCGATGACGAAGGGGACGTCGATTCTCGACTATCTGCTTACCTACGAAAAACTGGTTGCAGAATACGAAAAACTGTCCGAAGGAAAACCCTACGATGAGAATTTGAAAATCGGAACAGTGCTCAAAGGTTTACCAAATGAGTTGAGAAAGCATATCCTGATAGGATTGACCCCAACAACGAAGTATGCAGAAATCAGGAAGAAGTTGCTTGAGTATGAAAGAAGTACCCAATCGTGGAATGCGGAGAATATCCTGCAGTCCTTCAACATGGACAGCGCAACAAAGAGTACACCCTACAATGGGCCACAACCAATGGATATCGACAGAGTGAAAGGAAAAGGAAAAGACAAAGGAAAAGGAAAGGGATACGAGAACAAAGGAAAAGCAAAAGGAAAAGGATATGACAACAAAGGAAAAGGAAAAGGGTACAACAACAAAGGAAAAGGAAAAGGAAAAGGATACGACAACAAAGGAAAAGGAAAAGGTGGTTATAGAAATGCGCGTGCAGTGGACGCTGGTGGCTACGGGAAAGGGAAGTTCACAGGAGAGTGCCACATATGCGGAAAGATAGGACACAAAGCGTCTGAGTGCTGGCAGAACCAGGGAAAAGGAAAAGGAGGCAAAGGTAAAGTGAGACAGGTGGAAGAAGACGGAACACAGCAAGGAGATCACGAGAAGAGTTCCTCTAGCAATGCCCCTCCTACAAAGAACGAGACTGGTCAGGTGAGACAGATCACAGCAGAAGCGGCACGACAAGCGCGAAGAGTAGAGATGACAGAAGATGAGGATGAAGAGCTTGATTTTGTGAGGTTGTGCCAGGAGTGTGAAGGAGAACTTCGAAGAGTTGAGGAGTTTGATATTTCTTCGAACGATGAAGAAGAAGAAAGCGAGGAAGAGCCAACAGATGGTCTGATGGAGTGGTACCAAGGATGGTGGTTCTTGGAAACTGAGATAGAAAGAAGTGTGAGGATGATTTCTCAAGAGAATGAAGTGAAGAGAGCAACGAGAGAAGTGGATGCATGTGAGGTAGTGCTCGACAGTGGAGCTGACTGGCATGTGTTGCCTATGGACTGGGCAGAAGAAGTAGGAGAAACTTCGAACTTTGAGTATCATCTGAAAGATGCGCAAGGGAAAGTGATCCCAACACTGCCTGTGAGGCAGAACGTGACGTTTGTTTTCACAAAGGAGTCTGGAAAGAAGTTGCAGATCACTGACAGTGCTGTTTGCGGCAATGTCACCCAACCTCTGTTTGCGGTAGGAAAGATGTGGAAGTTAGGTTGGAGCACAGTGAATGAGGATGGAAGATTGTGGTTGAAGAAAGGAAGTGTTCGGATACCGATCTACTTCAAGAGGAATTCCTCAATGGCGAGGATGTGTATCAGGAGACTTGAAGGAGAAGAAATGAATGTGCAGCCAGTGAGGCTTGAACGAGAACTGAAAAATGAGTTGAAGAGCAAAGAGGATGAAGATGGTTGGTTTGTGCTGAACGACGGCACACCAGCAAGGTTTGATTGGTACATGGGGAAGACGTTTGACCCTACAGGTCAGTTCCCGAACAGACTCTACGAAGGAGAAGGAGATGAAGGTGATTATTTCCCTTACCGAACAACCTTGCTGGGAAAGTTGAAAAGGAGTGGAACGAGAGTGTTGAATGAAGTGGATTGGAAGAGCATGGATTTCTTTGAGTGTACGGAGATCTGGAAGGATCGCGAAAGAGTGCAGCTTGGAGCAAGTCCTCAAGACAGGTTTGAGGTGATGGTCACCTTGTTGGAGAAAGGATTGAAAGAACCGAGGGACTATGGAATGCTCACAAATCTGGAAGAGTTGGAAAGAGAGCTTGCACAAGAAGGAGTGCCCATGGAGGTAACAGAACCCTCCTCGAGTTCGAAAGACAAGAAAGAAGTTGAAAAGGAGGAACCAAAGAGAGGAGTTCCGGTGATTGGTGAAGATGAAGAAGATGTGATGGTGATTGGACCAATGAAGTTGACGCGCCAGAGTGAGTTGAAGGAGATGAAAGCGGCGTGCAAGTATCTTCATATTTCTAAGAATGGATCGAAGGAGATTTTGTGGAAGAGACTGAAGAAAGAGGTCGCGTTGAGCAAGGTGAAAGCGCAAGCCCAAATCTCTGAAGATATCAGGAAGGAGTTTGAAAGAGAGCCAATTGCAGAGGCTCTGCAGGCTCTACCGAGCCCAGAAGAGATCGAAGCGCATGAGTTGACGCACTTGCCAAGAGCGCCCTGGTGTGAAGCATGCCAGGCAGCAAAGAGCAGAGAAGACAACTTCGAAGAGACGAAAGAAAAAGCACAAAGGCCCGTGTTTAGCTTGGACTTTATGTTCACGGGAACTCAAGGAGATGAGAAGGAAAGAGATCCGCTTGCTATACAGCTTGCGGGAGTCGACAACGACACTAAGTTCCTGATAGCTATTGCGGTGCCAACGAAAGGAGGAGATGCGGTGATAAACCACGCAGTGAGTGAAGTAGTGAGAGTGTTAGCCCTTTTGGGTTACGCGGAAGTGGTGTTAAGAACGGACACCGAACCAGTGATGCTGGCGATCAGGAGAGGAGTTCAAGTAGCAAGAACCAAGCAAGGTTTGAAGACGGAGTTGCAAGATGCTACGCCAGATGAGCATCAAGGGTT